TCGTTTTAAGTTTATTTTCGGATACTGTCGAAGTATCTTCGTGTGCGTTGGTTGTCGGATGAGGTATTATTAGTGTCTGAGTCGTGTCGTTCGATTGTACCGAAGGAAAATCGACGTGGATAGGATTTCCTTCTAAATACGCTGCTTTTAAGCGATCGATGCTGATGCTATCGTTGGTTCCGTTCTTATCGACTATATAGTACTTAGATTCACGTTGAAGAACTTTGAAGGGTCCTTCGTATGCTGATTCGAATGGTCGTCGATGCGAGTCTCGACGAATGAAAACGTGTGTACTATATGGTAAGTCAGGTTGAACGAAAACATCAGTTGATTGAGGTCGAGTGGAAGCAGGTTTAACTGAACGCATTGCGTTTGTAAGCCTGTTCGTGTAGGAGGTTAGATCCATGTTCATCGAAGAGCACGAAGGATCCACGAATTCTCCTGGAAGTCGAAGTGTCGTTCCATAAACGAGTTGAGCCGCAGTGTATCCAATGTCAGCTTTCACTGCATTGCGGATACCTAGTAAGACGAGTGGAAGAGCGTCGGTCCATTGTGAAACGTTTGCAGCTGATAGCGAAGCTTTCAGTTGTCGGTGAAAACGTTCTACCAACCCGTTTGCTTGGGGATGGTAGGCGGTCGTTCGGAAGCGAGTGATTCCTAAAAGTGTGGTCAGACGACGGAAAAGATCAGATTCAAACTGACGTCCGCGGTCTGTAGTGATGGTTGAAGGGCAACCGAAGTTTGCTACCCATCGTTCGACGAATGTGCGGGCCACTGTTTCAGCAGTGCTGTCCTTGATAGGTACTGCTTCTGGCCATCGAGTGAAACGGTCTACGCAGGTTAAGAGATAAGAGTATCCATTTGAATCTGGTAAAGGTCCTACCAAATCCAGATGAACATGGTCGAAACGAGCATCGGGAGTTTTAAACGAGCCTAAGGGACATTTATTGTGTCTGATAACCTTAGATTTTTGGCAGCTTACACAGGAGCGTGCCCACTCCCTCACGTCTTTATTCATGCCAGGCCAGCAAAATCGTTCTGCTATAAGCTTGATGGTTGCACGAACACCTGGATGAGAAAGTTTGTGCAATGTGTTGAAGACATTGCGTCGATAATGTTTCGGCACGATTGGGCGATCCCTACCTGTAGATGTGTCACAAAGTAAGGTTTCCTTACCTGTTCCCATCTGTTTGATGCGTAGTTTAAGTGTTGTGGACGATAACTCGTGCTGAAGATCACTGTCTTCTTTTTGAAGCTCGGCGAGTTTAAGAAGGTCGATTCCTTGGAAACTGTTCAAGGAAGTTATACGAGATAAAGCGTCTGCAACTACATTGTTTGCTCCAGAGATGTGTTGAATATCTGAAGTAAACTGCGAAATGTAGTCCAGTTGTCGAGACTCACGGGGAGAGTACTTGTCAGAAGGAGAGCTTAACGAGAAAGTGAGCGGTTTATGGTCCGTGAAAAGAGTGAATTCACGGCCTTCGATATAGTGTTGGAAATGCCGTACAGCACAATACATAGCTAGGAGTTCCCTACCGAATGTGCTGTACCTCGATTCGGTGTCTAGCAACCTTCTAGAGAAAAATGCCAAGGGTTGCCAGGAGTTGTTAACCCATTGTTGTAAGACTCCTCCGATTGCTGAGTCGGATGCGTCTACTGCGATGCTAATGGGTGCTCGGGTGTCCTGATGTGCGAGCATTGTTGCTTTAGCAATCAGTTCCTTGACTGTGGAGAATGCTTTTCGTGCGGTGTCGTCCAAATTAATGGATTTCGCATTTCCACGAAGTTGGTCGGTCAGAGGTTTCATAAGTGATGCGCATCTGGGTATGAAACGTCTATAGAAACTTACCAGGCCGTTGAACGTGCGTAATTGCTTGACGGTGGTCGGTTCTGGGTAATCCAGAATGGCCGCCACTTTGGTTCTAAGGGGTCGGATACCTTGAGCATCGATAGTGTGTCCCAGAAAGTCTAACGAGTCGGTTCCAAATTGGCATTTCTGAACGTTTACAGTTATGCCATGTTTTTGTAATCGTTCGAAAACAAGGTCCAGATGCTTGAGATGTGTTTCTCTGTCCGGACTTGCGATTAGACAGTCGTCAACATACGCGTGTACGAAGTTGAGACCTCGAAAAACGTCGTCTATGAATCTTTGGAATGTTTGAGCAGCATTCCTTAGACCGAAAGGCATTCGCAAAAATTCATAGAGTCCGAAGGGAGTTATGATAGCCGTTTTCGGTATGTCGTCAGTGGCCATAGGGATTTGGTTATACGCTTTAACCAAGTCGATTTTCGAAAAGACAGTTGTACCTTTCAAGGTAGCTGTCAAATCGTGAATGTGAGGCAACGGGTAACGATCGGGAATGGTTTTCGCGTTCAATCGCCGATAGTCACCAGTTGGACGCCAATCGTTGCTGTCCTTTTTAGGGACCATGTGCAACGGAGATGCATATGGGCTACTTGACGGTCGTATGATTCCTAAGTCCATCATGTGATCGAATTCGTTTTTCGCTAACCTTAGCTTTTCAGGAGCTAGTCGTCGTGCTTTAGAGAATACAGGTGGTCCTGTAGTCGTGATGTGATGTGTAACATTGCTGGTTACACACGGTAGTTTCGTTTGCGTTTGTTGTATCCCAGGGTACTTATCGAGTAGTGGTTGATAGAGTGGGTCTATCATATGTTTAACTGTGACTGGGGATACTCTACAACCAGTAAAAGAAGTTACGCAAACGGACAAATTAGTGTTTCCGTCTACTAGCCTCCGTTTGCGAGTGTCGATGATCAGATTGTGGTGTTGTAGAAGGTCCATACCAATGATTGGCATAGAAACATCTGCAACGACGAAAATCCAGTGGATGGGTTTGCGTAAACCCACGTTAAGGTAAACGTACCTTTTGCCATACGTAGCGATCGGTTTTCCGTTTGCCGCCTGTAAGTTTAGGGTCGATTCGTGAAGTCGGTCGTTAGGATTTGCTGGGAGAACGCTAACTTCTGCGCCAGTGTCGACGAGGTAGCGAACTCTCGTTGTCACATCTGTGACGAATAACAGACGGCTTTGTTCGCCGGCTACGGTTGCCGTTAACGCGTGCCGGCTTGGAAGTTTCCCGAATCAGTCGGTTTCGTGTTGGGAAAATTGCAGGGTTTTCTGCAATTTCTGGAAAACTTTCCATACTGGTTATGATACCAGCACCAGTCGGGGTTATCTGTCTCTCGTGGTCTAGAGACAGATCGCTTACGAGAAATGCTTCTACGTGGTGTGCGCGATCTCTTACGGTCGGTACGAAGACTAAGATAACGCGTGAGTGTGTGACATAAGTCGGTTATGTCATTCTGAGTCGTGTGAGGCTTTTCTTTGACTGAAAATACCTCGGTAGTAGAAGGTTTCGTAATTTCTAGAATGCGGTCGGCAGATACAGCTAGTTCGTCTAAGGCGTTGTTCTGGAACGAGACCAGAACTGCTTGCACCTGTTGGGGAAGTTTTGACAAGAAGAGTTGTTTGAATAGACCTTCGTCGAAAGTTCTTGGGCCTATAACCTCTCTCATCCGTTGCAACATGTCCGTCGCAGAACCGTGTTGCAGGTCGATATTGTTGAAGAGTTGATCTAACCTTTGTCGATCGGTTAGGTCTCCTCGTTTAAGAATCGAGCGTTTTAAGATTTCGTAAGGATCGGAAACATCACTAGTAAACATACTAGGTGTTACGTACCTGTTGAATTCCCGCGGCAGTGCCTTGACTACTGCGAGGAATTGTGCACGTGTGTCGATCACGCCGTGCTCGGAAAAGTCGGCTTCTGCGTAGCAAAACCAGGCTTCGATGTTGTCGGGCCAGAAAGGCATCAGTTGAAACGAAGGTGGGGACAAGGTCTTAAGCTTGAGTACTTTAGGTGTCTGTTCAGTCATGATGAAATATGAAGTACGATAATGAACGAGGGGAAAATATATATATATATCCAAGAAAAACACGAAAAAAAATCACAATGTTTAAAAAAAATAAAAAATAAGGCAATGATATATAAAAATCCCAAAAAGGAACAGACTCACAGTTGCAATAAGGTGTACCAGATCACGACGGTCTCACCAATGATGATGTCACAGGTATTCAGTGTTTGACAACGCTTCTACCAGTAACACCTTCTAATATGTTTCGTTCCCACCAAGAGAAATCAAAAGACAGAGTCGAGGAGATCGGAAGAGTATATTTGGCGATGACCAATATACCGGGATTCTCTGATCTAATCTGGCTAGCGATTGTGGTTGATGTTGAGCACGGCGTTACTACACGTGATCTGGTGCGGATGCCTGACCGAGCGCCTTCAGCTAGATGAGTCCACTAAAACATATGGTCAGCATCCAATGTCGAAAACTTACAGAGCTATTTATTTTAGGGATTTATTTACCGCTACAGGTGAAAGTGACTGATAAAAATCAGGACCAACTTTCACGCGTGATTAAGGCTGTCTGACAGCTAGTACAAAGAGCTCTTAAGAAAGTTGGAAGCGGGTTGGCAGTGAAATCTATAGTGTAAAATAGTTCATTCACAGAATATTAGAAGGCCTCGCTTTATTGGCAGTGCCGTGGACTGAAAAATTAAGTTATTTTGGATTCTTTTAAGGGCTCAAAATAGTACCTTATGTAGATTTACTGTCAACTATCTTTTTTCTGTTTGATTTCGTATTCCTAAGATCTTGACTGGAATGATAAATTTATAAAGATACGTAAATCTGTTAAATGAGGACTTTTTCATTTAAGTTCATAATCATTTGGCATAATTACCAGGATTTCACCAAATCAAATTTAGAGGTCAAATATTAATTTTCGAAGTTTAAAAAACTCTTGGATTCAAAGTATTCAATTTGAAAGAAGGAAATCAACTTTTAGTGGTTAATGTTCAAGTACAAATATCAGATTCCAACGTAGAATTTTGCTTTGTCTTAACGAATTTATGACTAAATACAATTAGCGCGCAAGTAGAAATATTTCGGCCGTTTATGTTCTTTTAAGAAATGGTCGGTAATGGTGAATACGAGGATCAAAACTCCTCAAATGCGTCATCATTTTGGGAGTGTCGAGAATATCATCGGACGGTTAAACGCGTGGATGCTGCATACAAACTTTGTAATGAATTATGTTTAATGATACAAGAACGGGCAGAATTAGAAAAAGCCTATTCATCTAATCTTAAGAAATGGTCTTCTCGGTGGCTTAGTTTCCTTGATTCTGGTCTAGAGTATGGTTCTGGATCCTCCCCTTGGAAAGGATTATGTAAGGAAGCTGAAGCTATATCAAATGCTCATCAAGTAAGAACTTTTTCAGTGACTTAATTATCGCGACCCCTTTCAAAATGCTGGCAAATCTCTGTACTGCTAGATCTAGTGTTCAAAATGTCATCTGAGTTGGGTTATACGATTAGTCAGTTTTTGTATTTGCGTAGTGGTTTTGGCAACGATTGAGCGAATGCATACATGATGAAATCGCTCATGTTATACACAACCTTGGTTGTCATCCTCGTTGCTGACTAGTCCTTATTAAAATACGATCTCTGTGTACTTTGCTGTTTTTCCTTTTGAAACCTTTGGTGGCTATCTTAACTGCGATTATTTATTTGTCATTAATTAGTGATAATCGGTAGCCTGAGCGCATACCATCAGTGCTTATTTGTTGTTCGTAAGTTTATACTAAAAATCATTCACGGAATTCGAAAGTTGTAATAAACAACTTCGAAATTATATCTGTTAGCTTAGTCGGGAAAACCTTCGGTTGGGTATTAAGTAAGTCATAATAATACTTCCAAGTCATGGTTTCCAGAAGAATCAGTAACAGCATAATTTGCTACTTTCTAAACTCGGGTATCTAAACGTTACGACTTGGATAGTGATTAGGTACAAATTGGGGCTGTTTGTGACTTCACTTTGTCTGATTCAGGAAAATACACTTGCAGAAACTTACTAGAATAATATTAACACACGCAATCGACCTTCTGTCCTCAATACACAAATCCGCACCTCAGTCGTTTACCTAGTTTCGTTGCATCCCTCGTATTGTCTTCTGGCTAAGTAGATTAGGTTGGTTCGTGCTACTGTAAAGTGGTTTTAGTCCACTGTCAACAAAAAGAAATCGTACCAATCTATCTGCTTATTGGGAATTGCCAAAAACCTTAAAATAATTTCATCACTTGTCCTAGATAAGTGTTTTGGTGTTGGATTTTTTATTTGTGGTGAGTTTATCTTTTTAGCACGAAATATGAGATCTGTGGTAGTATTTAGTAGGTGGCATTGTGCATCTAGACATGACAGTCATCCCACGATTCACATAAAGCTCTTTGTGTTAAGGAATATAATCGGCTTATTACTAAAAATTGACATGCCCTAATAGATAGGTCAGTATAGGTAAGTATTGAGCAGAATTGAATCTTTACTTTCATATTGGTTACAGTTGACTGTGTTCAAACTTTAGTGGTTGTCAGTGGCAGTATGATTAAACTTATAATTATTACTAATGTCTTTGAAAGCAACCTGTAAATCTAATTGTGAGTGATGAGTATCAAGTACTACGTTAAGTCGTCTATTTATCGAGTTTATAGGGAGCGTTTTTAAAATAATTAGTAATTGACGTGAATGCTGAAAATACTTTTGGATGTTCTTGCGAATAAACCTCATTTATCTAATGAATATGGTGGTCTTGAGTGATTTTAAAGGTATGAGGGAAGTTATTACTTCCCGGTTGCTTATACAATGAAGGGTACCTTTAGAGGTAACTGAAAAGGAAATTGGATTAGTCTTGGTGACCGGAAGCGTGACCGCAATATCCAAGAGGCAGCTACTTGAGGCTGGCCACGCACGACCTTTTTGCGGGTAATTTTTATGTTAGCTTCGTAGTTATTGAGACCTTACCGCCGGAGACGAAATAAGGCGAGGTGTGCATTCTTCGGATTAACCTTTCCTCATCCCCACTTCTTTTGTGGGAAGATGGCATCGTTGTAATGCTGGTTTTTTGAAGGAAGCACCTTACTGTCGTCATGCCTCTATACAGTCAGCAGTACGACTTCGCCTTTAGGCCCTGGGTTCGCTGCTTTTTGTTCTAACGCTCGTCAACCGACCTGCCTGGCATGGAAGGACCTTCAAGAAGAATTGTTCTAGCCAGTATAACCCGATTGATTCATAACGACAGGCAAGGACGACCACCAAGTCAAGGCAGCAGCACCGGTCAGGTGTAAATAAACATAACACTGTGTGTGGCGCATATATATTTGGCGCATTCTTGTACCAGTATTTATGTGTTCAAATAAATAAATAAATAATAATAACACTGTGTAACCAGGGAATATCACATACTAATACAAGTGGCCACCATTAAATTTTACTAGGAAATTATAGCCTATCAAAACAAAGCAATTATTCAGGTTCAAACTGACCAGCATTTAGTTTGTTCCTACTCACTGCCTTCTCTCGGCACGGGTGTTATTTACGAAGTTGGGAGGACAAAAAGCAAATGTCCGGCGCTTTGACCGGGTTGATGGATATAGAGGATCTACCTAAGGTAGTTGGAAAACCGTGATTCCAAACCAATGGTGCACATGGGCTCCAATACCCTGAGGGAACAAATGGCATGTGAACCAATCGTTGGTCACTGGCTACCATGGGACTGCATCTCCTGGCGTTGCTCCACTTCCCTGTGGATTAGACCTTCAGGTCAACGGCTCCGGGTGTGGTCTTCCCTAAGAAAACCACCTGCTTTGGTTTGGGCACCCGGGTAGTATCCCAGCCCTCACTCAAGTCGAATGATTTATGCGGCACATATCTGTTTGGTACCACCTTGCACCAATGTTTGTGTCTGAATAAATGATAATAAATAAGATTTTGGATATTTTGAAAGTTAGTGCTTTTCATGGTGAATTACGGGCCTTTCTATTACAACCTAAGCTCTTTTTATGGTGGTGAAACCTCATGTTTGTTCATTTGTCATTCGGTCTGTAGATGAATAACGATTAGAGCCTTATGTATTTCAAAACTTTTCATAGATTGTTTTTTTTTTTCATAAATGGCTTTGTCATTGCTGTTAAAATGCTGTGAATTGTTCAGGCATTTTCACTTTTTCTACAGATGGTAACTATTGTTAGTGAAAAGTCCTCTCAACCTCATTACTTGTTTACTGAAATCAGTCTCAGTGCCGTTCTTTACGATATCTTCTAGACCTGTAATATTTTTACAGCTTGCCTTTTATATTTGTGCGTTCAGCCACTGGATGCCTAAGCTAAATATTCTAATATTTCAATTACAACTACTGCTTTAGGATATTGTTTAAACAACTAGATACCATCTCTTGGAAACACTTGATAATTACGAGTTAAATCTTAGTATACAGACCTGCATGTGGTCTTGAGGTATCATCCTGTTCCCGCCCCCAAATGTATTTATTTATTTGAACACATAGATATTGGTACAAGGAGGCACCAAATGCATATGCGCCACAAAAATCTCATTTGATTTGTGCGAGGGCTGTGATACTGCCCGGGTGCCCCAAATGTAGCTTATTATATTAACCATTTTATGATTTTTCGTGTTACGTTTTGAGTTCACTGAATCTTCCCCCATTTCGATTGCTTTTACAAACCCCTTTTACTTTCTTAGAAGTTTAGTACACAAATTTTTAATCTTATCTCCAGAGACTTGTAAGTATATTTATTCCCAGTTAATGTGCTCATAGTTTATCTTTTGTGAATCCAACTGGGTTTTTAACTCAGAATTCCTTACTTACGTAGATAAGCTGGAACTGGGTTAATTTGAGATCGTTTTCTTTCATCTAGAAATAATTAGTTCTAAAAATATTCAAAAACCTGTCTCAGATGCTTGGCATCTCAGTTATATCTGTGATAATGATGATTGTTAATTGGATATGTATTAATATCCTAGCTTCTGTGGTGTAGTACCTGAATATAAAAGTACTTGGTTGGTTAATAGTTAATTTCTTCGAAGTTCATAAACGGTATTAGTTTTTTAACTCATTACAAATCTATTTATCCATCTATACACGTTTGTTCGTGATTCAAGTTTATGCCTTAAGGGGTCATATCTCTTCTAGTTTTGATCTTATTCAGTTTTATATAATTGTGCTTCTACTCTTATTTTTAAAGAATGTACGCAACATCCTAATAGACGACATTCAAACTGGAGTTAAGCAATGGCAAAAAGAGCACTTTCACAAAAGTTCGTTACCTCCGCAGACATTGAAAGAAACAAAACAATTTGAACAAGATTTTGAACTAGCACAGAAACAATGGTCCAAACGTTTGAAAAAAGTTCACACTACTAAAAGGAGTATTATCAAGCTTGCAAGACAGAACGTTCACTTCAAGTTCAGGTTCGGAATGCTAAGAGTGACCCAAGTGGTACTGCTGAGCAGGTAATGTATCTATTTTGCAAGTCAACTATATTGTTTTTCAATGTGTTTAATTTCATACTTTTTTGTGTTATGTATTTTAATTGTTTAAAGATCCCCACCATGTTTAAAGACTAATATATGAACGAAAAATATTCTTTTCGATAAATTGTTTTCAGGTTCTACAATCATATATCCAAATTAATAATTCGAAAAATGGCCAGGTTTAGGGCAAAGTGGATGGTTTAAAGTTAAAGCATGTGAGTTTAAGATTGTCAAACAAAATAGAATAAAATTGTTAGTGTCAGTATGATAGAATGTTAACTAGAATCAGCTTATATGTTAAGTGAAAATTTTAAATTCGATCAAATGTTTAGTCGAAGATCATATTGTGCAGAAAGTTTGACATAAGGTGGGATGAATGCTAAGCAAATAAACCATGTATTGGGGAGATCAATAAGGATGTTTTACCAATATTAATGACAATAATAATACGAAGATTTGTGAATAAAGATAACAGACAGCTAAATTTGACTACGAAAGGTCGTAAGTACAATAATCAAACTAGGTCACTCGATAGCTAAGATTACTTTTGATTAACTGACCCTGAAGTTGACCAGGGGAGGAGAAGCGGTTTAAGATATTTCTTTTGTATGCATAGCTCCGGTTTCTTAATCTGGATGGCTACTGCTTCAGCCGTTTGAAGGACTTTAATTCTGACAAACTTTGGCAAAAAATTACTGACCCGATAAATAATTGAAAGGGATTAGTTTATACTGGCGCTATGACCAGTTTGCACTAAATGGGCCAATATCGAGCTGTTCACTTTCTTCACCAGACCTTTGCTTAGCCACCCTGAAAGGTGTTCGCGAGCACAAAAATGTAACTTTCTAGAACTTCGGCCGACATAACTTGCTCCACAGGGACAGTCGAACTGATAAGTACAAAATGAGGTTATTTATTATTTATTTGAATATATATATATATATATATATATATATATATATATTGGTACAGGAGTGCGCCGGATATATATGCGCCACACAAAACAATGAGAATCTAAGAAGAAAAAAAGTGAGGAACGTAAAAAAATAATAATAAAAATAATAACGAAGAGATTGGTGTAAGGTAGTATAGTAATAATAATAGCAATAGTAGGGGAACAGAAGGGTACAATCAGAAGAAATCTTTCAGTTAAGGAAGATACAACCACTTTTTTTATGAAGAAAGTAAAAGCAGGTTACAGCAGGATCGCCACTGGCTTCTATTCTGAGCCATATCTGATAACGTTTCTAGCCACTGTGTTGCACCATCTCTCGGACCCCAACCAGGGAGTCGTGAAGGACCGACAGAAGCCAGTCCTTTGCAGCTTTCTTTCATACCACGACACCATGTCATATACTGACCACCTCTCCGCTTCTTCCAACCAGTCCCAGAGTCGCAAATAATGCACGACGTGGAATTCTGTGGGACGACATTCGTAGAACATGTCCAAGCCACCGAAGTCGGTGTTTCAAGATGGTGATATTGATTGCATTATCGTCTCTGTGCCCGAACACACGATGCCGAACCTCTGCATTACTAACATGGTGTTGCCACTGGATGTCAGCAATCCTTCTGAGACAACGATGATCGAACACAGAGAGTCGTCTAACGTCCTGAACTCGGAGAGGCCAGGTTTCACAAGCATAGAGCAAAACTGCTCTCACCGAAGCGTTGTAGATCCGATCTTTTACAGCCAGACTAACATCACGAAGGCGCCAAAGATGGCCCAGATTGGCATAAGCCGCTCTGGCTTTCACTATACGTGCATTGATCTCATCGCCTATTCTCACCGTGATCAAATATTTAATTGTAAACTTTCTAGGGTATCTGTCCTCTCTAGAAGTATTACGCAAAGTGTTTAGCTCTTCAACTATATCCGTAGAACATATAGCGCGTATTCGGTAACTAGGAGTTTTGATCAGGTGTCTTTTGTACTGTAGAGGTACAGAGTTAAGGAAATGTGTGTACTGCCCTGTCCAGGTATTTTTCTGTTTAAATTCCTTTTTAATGATCCATCCGCTCTCTTCGTTAAGAGAACGTCCGTAAAGGCTATTCTACTATCACTATCTTATTCAGATGTAAACTCAATGACTGGATGTACTTCATTAAACTGCCTAAGAACCTCTTGCTGTGATTTACTATCTTTACAGAGGATGAACGTATTATCCATATATCGGCAGTTAAATGTGAATTTTTGAATAATCTTTTTGAGTGAACTATTTTCTAGTTTGGCTAGAAAATTGTCAGCTAATATAGGGTCCAATAGTAAACCAATTGCAGTACCATCTGTTTGTTTATAGATTTCTCAGTTGAACTTGGAATTCACATTCATTATGGATTTCAGTAATAACTCTTACGGCGTTGATAGGGACTGTAGTTTCAATTTCATTTTCACGCAGTTGTTCACATGTATATTCTACGGTCTCTATGAGTGGAACATTTGTGAATAATGATGTTATATCCAAAGACATCATCTTTTGTTCCAAAGTATTTGCATTTTTGATCTTGTCAACAAATTGCAAGATATCCCTAACATTATGTTTTTCAAGTTTTTCGTGGAGAATTTTCAATATAGTTACCAACCATTTAGATATAGTATGATAAGGAGAGTTATACATATCAAAAATTGGTCTTAATGGGATCTCCGATTAGTGTATTTTTGGCAGTCCATACAATCTTGGTTGATAGGTCCCCACTGGTTTAATCATTTCACATAAACCTGACGAAATAATCTATTTGTCTCTGAGCTTCAAAGATCTGATTAGCTCATTCTCTATCTTATTATTGAAATCCTTCTGGCCAGTTATTTTTTGAAATTTCAGTTTGTCATCTTAGATGATACCCATTTTGTCAATATAATCACTTTTGTTAAGAAGAATAGTTCCTGAACATTTGTCAGGTTTCGTAATCAGTAATGTTTCATCCTTTTGAAGTAGGTTAATAGCTTCCTTGTGCTTCTTTGTAAGAATGCTTTTGTAATTGAATTTATTGTTCGTATACTGGTGACACCAGTCTGCAATAATTGATTTTAAATGTTCTAGTTGTTGATCAGAATTTGCAACTAAATCTCGTGTTTGACTATATAAATTGTCGAACTTTGTATCTGTATCAATGTGTTTACAGTGATTACGAGTATCACAGAATTTCAAACAAGGATAATACTTCTAGTTTTCCTTTATCTAGTTCAACACTTGAGAAGTTATGCACATACCTTTTAGAGTCGGTTGGAAATTTGCTTTCAGTTTTATTTTTCAGACCACATGCTTTAACTTTAAACCATCCACTTTGCCCTAAACCTGGTCATTTTTTGTATTATTAATTTGGATATATAATTGTAGAACTGAAAGAGAATTTATCGGAAAGAATATTCTTCGTTCAAATATTAGTCTTTGTCATGTATTTATTTAACTATATTTACCCTTGTCTTTTTTCATCAGTTCTTAAATTTTATTTTAATCATACTCAAACGATGAGGTAGTTTGATTCAGGTTCATATGGTAAAATATGAGAGATATATCATCAAGATTATTAGCTTTAACTTGTAATCGAAACCCTTGGGTAAGACGAGGTTGGATTTCGTGGATTATTGTCTAATTTTTAAATTATTGAGTCAATTGCTGTATGCTGATTTTACTAACCAGTTTGTATAGTAATTATCTGATGCACTAAATCACTGTGAACAATATAAATTAGTAACGAAATTGCTGAAATAACGATCACCTATATAACCTGGAAATTTTCGAGATTGTGATAGTCAGTTAGTGTTTTAGTTAATGCAAACGTTTAAAGAAAGAAATATTTAATGGTTAAATTTTTTCTACTCATAATTTGAAGACAAGGGTATTGAGATAACACACAACTTAATGCCATTTAGGTGGTTATCAGATATTCCAAAAGTATTTTAACGATATTGTTTCATCTTTTGCTCGTTAAACATGTTTGTTCCCGTAGATTATTTTGGCTATTTTCGTTCAAATAATTTAGCTACGAGAGACAAACGAGATGCGGATTAAAAAAATTAATTAATAGAATAATAATAATTTGTAATATTCCATTTTTATTTTTCATTAATTTTACATTTCTTTTTATTTCTGTTACTAATTAGTCTCAACTCGCATCAGTTTAGTATTCTCATATCTTTAAACATGCTAAAATTGTAACCATAAGTAATAAAAAACAATAGCAGTTGAAAAAGTCTTTGACTTTTTCGATAAATAATCTTCACCATTAAAATGATAGCCTTCTTAGGAAATAAATGAGCAAATAATAACCTAAAATATGGATAAGAATAAGTAAACGAAATTCAAAACACTGTTAGAAGCTGATAGTGAGTTTGAAGCTAAATAAGTTGTTCAAAAGTTTTTGTGTTAAACCAATAGTTTAACAACTTTGTGTTTGAACACTTTCAGTTCATAACTTTGAATTATTGAGGAAACCTAAACTGCAATGAAAAATTATTGAGTTTTTGATATTTTTTAGTAATTTTATGAGTGCTTATAGCTTACAAACCAAACCTTATTTTCATCTTTTAACTGATTTCAGTTTTAACTTTGACAGATAAATTCACTTGGTATTGTTTACTTAAATCTTCCCATTGATGTTTAGGACTGCAATTGATCAGTCTCATATTGGCATATGTGTGCATACTATGCTTATTGCCTTGATATCGCCTTCATTCACTATCCATCTTTGCTTAGAATAACTACTTTTATTGCAGGGATGATGACCATAAATATGTCTTCGGAAAATTTACAGTTATCCTTGAAAATCATAAAATGATTCTTATTGTTGTATGTTAATAACACTACGACTATCACTACCAGTGTTTTGAATTTGCCCTGTTATTTATCACGTGACAAGGTCGCCAATCAGAACGCCGGCTTGTACGACCTTGGCCCTGTACCGAACCGATGACGCGTTAACCAACAGAGCAGCCTAGAGTCAACTCTGAGTCCTTATTGGTTCTCCTTCCTCAGCCC